AAAACTGATTTTTACGACTTCCAAAGAGTACTTCAGATCTTTCTTCTTACTCGAGCACTTTTGAAAAATAATATGATATTTGTAATCAGCAGACATAGCGCTATCGAACTACATGGACTTTTGATGAAACAGCGAAGAAAAATGTCCTTCGAACGCTGAGGGGCACTTCAGGGATCAAAAAGTTGAATTGTGATAAAATGCAAAATAAACTTGCGAAAAATAATGAGGATTCAATACTGATCATCGGCCTAATTTTATTAGGCCGATCTTATTTAGGATGATAAGCCCATAATTTGGGACGCCTCCTTGTCATTCGTGAATCTCTTCTCAGGAATATGTGAACAAATAATTTAATCAAAAAGTCGTTGCAGCCAGAGAAACCAAGTTCTAAACTTGTAAAATGCTATTTTAAGACAAAAAAATATAGACTATTAAATAAAAAAATAGTTATTCTGATGAAACTTATTTTTTTGACATATTCTTGACAGAGTCGATGGGTGAGAATTCAATCAGAAAAGAAACTTGCAGAAAAACTTTGAAACATTCATAAATTGACTTATCATTTTGTGTTGATTTCAAATATCAGTCGAAAAACTTGACCCTCAAGAACAGTGAACTAAGGATTTTATTATATGGCTTGTTTCTTTAAGGTTATACAAAGTACTTGATTTTGTATCGTTTAAAAAGTTCGATTGGTTACGAAATGAACTAAATGTCGAGGAAGTTTCATTAACACAATATTTAAACGACAAATGGAATTCATATAGATATTCCAAATGCAGATAATTGCAGATTTGCATACGGTCTAGTAGATTCAAAACATTATTTCAGATGAATGATTCTATTATGAAAATAAAGCCTGAGAAAAAAGACTATTAGAATAACTTTGTGTCACTATTCATCGTTATTTAATTTCTATCAAAATAATGCCTACGTAACTGGCTAATATCAATAGTTAACTGCTGATTTAGTATTTCATGAAGATCAAACCTATTCACAATCTATAATTCAATGAAAATATCTTGAATTTAACATTAAAACAATCAGTAACTGATGATCTTTGATTATATATATATATACGTATATAGATGAATGAGCCAATTATATTGTATCTTGAAAATTAACAAAGATAAAAAAACATGTTCTTTTATGACTTCCATCCTTTCTTTGTCATATCTTTTTAATAAAAATAGTTTAATTGATTTAGTATTTATAAATAGTCTAATCTGTAAATTAAACTCGAAATACTACTCATATTTATATTTGAAAATTTTTATCGGAAACAATAAGAAAATTGAAACATAATGTCAATATTATTAATCATAATTTGTTTTTCTTTTCAAAATAGAAAAAGAAAACTCTGTCAAGGCATATTTAATTGAGTAAATAAATTGAAATAAAAAGTAAAATTTGAATGAAATTTTATTTTAAAACATTACTATCAAGAATCATTATTTGAAATTACCTAAAAAATTTTTAAAATGATTTTTGGTATAACAATGATAAGATTCTTTTTCATAACGTTATTTGAGATTTAATATGCCATAATAATTGTTTATTGGATCGCATTCTTGTACCTGTTGATAATCTTCTTAATAAAAAAGGTGTTTCAGGTAATGTTATTTTAATACAATCATTTATCTTTGTCATTGCAACACTCAATGATTGTTGTTGTTGTTGTTGTTGTTGTTCTTGATCTCGACTTGCTCTTGATGTATTTGTTGGTGTTATTAATGAACATTTAGGTTGTTGATGAACTAATAAATCAGTTTCTTTAGCTCGATAAACAGTATTATATTTCATTTGACCAAATTGAAATGATTTTGTTTGATGATAATGTGCATGATTTGTAGCAAAAACTGGTCGACCTAATTTAGCTGAATTTGTATGACGAGTAAAACGTGATATTGATGTATAAAATATATCTCTTAAAAGAAATCAATATGAATTATCATAATTTATTTTATTGTTGTCTCACTTAAAATTTCTAAATGTTTGATTATAAATAAAAAATTTACAACATAAACTTATTTCATAAAGTATAACTGTGAATTTTCTTGAGACAAGAATTATTGTTAAACCAATTGTTCTTTCTTTAGTAGCATAAATTAAATTAAGACCAATCATAATACCTATTAAAGAAAATAAAAATAAAAATAAAAATAAACATATATATATATATATATGATGTCATTATGATCAGATGAATTTGTACCTGTTGGCGTGTGAAATATTAAAAATAGTATTGAGATAAGTAAAACTGTTTTTGTTGCTTGATTAAATTTCGCTTGACGTGCTTGAGAATAAAGTGGTTCAAACCTTTGTGTTGCTAATTTTATATTATAAATAATAATTAAATTCATTATTAATGTTAAAAATTCCGGTAAAATTGCCCAGATAATTAAATTTATATGTCTTATTATTATCAATGTTTTATATGTATTTCCATCACATGCAACTATTGAAAAAACACTAACTTGATCAATACCTTTTAAATCGAAAAAACGATAAATACATAAACATATAACGATTAATACTAATATAAATATTGAAATTTTTGCACGTTTATGTGTATATAATGAATGACATTTGAGGGGTCGTAAAACACATATTAAACGTTCAAAAGTTAATAAAACAACAATCCATGTTGGAAATATTAAAAAAAATTCGGTTAAAAGACCATTTACTCGACATAGAATTGAAGAATTATGAAAATAGTCATCGATTGTATCGATTTGTCTTAATATTGGAATTGTAAAATTTATATGTAAATTAAGTGTATCTCCTAGTGCTAATACAGATAGATAAACATTTTGTGAATTTCGTTTATTCATTTTAAGAAAACAATATAATGAAAATAGATTAAGTATAGTTCCAATAAAAATTAAACTTGCTGCTGTTGGAAAAAATAATCTTTCTATATAACAATCAATTAGTATTAAACGAT